TCAAAATATCAGATACGTGTTTCAGAGATGTATTAGTCTCTATCTCTGAGGAATTTTATGATGTTTTTCTATTAGTGGTTATGATGTTGGTTGAATTAATTTTTAACAGTATAAAAATTAATATATATTACAAAATAAATTATATAAGAAATATAATATCATAAATTATTTTTTTTAAATTGGGTAATGGTAAATTCTCCCAAATCCACATTATGTTAATTTTAAGGAAATATTATGTGAACTCATCCGGTCTAAAACGGTGCTAACCTGTAGGAAATATTTAAACTCTAATAAGATAAGTAAAAACATTCATACTAAAAGTAAAAAACTATTCGCATGACAAAAATTTATAGATATACACACCAAAAATTAGACACTTTAAGATTTTTTTAAATTTATCTATTCATAATATAATAAATATTAAATTAATTAAGTAACCATTTTATTGTATAATATGTGTTGAGTGTACCTCATATCTGAGTAAGTCACTGTATTAAATTTAAATCCAATGATAAATCATCGAATAAGAAAAAATACTGTCCATCATCATCATCTATATTATTAAGTATATTTTATGATATATTTATATTATTTTTTGATTTTAGTACACAAAACTTATGAAAAACATAATATTAAATTTTCATGCTTTAGTTATAAAAAGTGAATGTTTTTAAATGTATAATTATAAAATAATTTCACAATTTCTACAATTTTGACGAATATTATAAATATTTTAATTTTAAAAGCTTATAAGTTATGACAAAAAAATCGTGCACATATTATATCTTTAATATTTGTTAATAGCTATAAATCATAATAACTGATTATTCATTTATATTTATTATATTTTTAAACTTTTTCACAAAATTTTAAAGTCAATATTTATATAATTAAAAGTGTTATGGACGTCTCCACAACCGAATAGTCACAAATAAATTAAGGCGTAATTCGGTTAAATACTATACTTTAATTATTGATTACATTTTATTACAACGAAACTTATTAAAAAAAATAAAATTACAATTATTGGGAGTTTTGCTGGATGTTCTGACAGTAAAACACTGATTTTTGTACAGACAGCAAGGTATGGAAGGGGCTTGCTTAGCCCCAAAACTGTCTACACAGCGAATTCCTTCAAACTTTGGGATCGTGTCACTCTGCCCGTTCACAATAATAAAATGCTTACTTACTAATTCGCATTTACTGAATATAACTATATACAGGAGTTCACAACAAAAGCTAAAAAAAATTATAAAATATAAAATGTCTATAAATAGTCCAAAAAAGAATCGGAATATTTTGAAAATTATATCATGTATAGATAATGCAAATATAATCATTCGGTGAAAACATTCTAGAACCTATGGTCTTTTTACATTAAAAAAAAAAAAAAAGTAAGTTTTTGTTCAAAATCACTACTTGACAAAATTGATTTTGTGTCTTACCTAACAGTTTCTGTATATTATGATAAACATTTCCAAATTTAATTTTACTTTTTTTAGGCTATTTATAGACAATTAACTTTTTTCTTCTTCTATAAATGTCGATAAAAAAATGTTTGGTGGAACAATAAGCTTGATAAATTAATACGTACGTTTCTCATAATCTGATAACTATTTAATATTTGACATTTTAATATTAAATATAAAAAGGTAAACTCAAGGTTTTCATTTATAGATATTCAAAGTTAAAATTTTGACAAAAATTAATTAATACCGTGAAAGTTTACCAATTATTTTGTAGTTAAATATTTAATACAAATGGTTTAGCATAAATAATTTATACTGCAACCAAAAAAATATTATAAGTGTTTAAATATTTTTTAATTGATATTCTAAGTTTAAATTTATTTACAATTAAGTATTTAAGTGAATTATAACAATTTTAGTTCTTATTGTTAAATTTAAAAATATTATTCTTGAGTACTTGCAACTATTAACTTTATAATTGTATTTGATATAAACAACTAAATTTCCAAATGCAATAGTTTTAAAAAGAATTAATTCAACCAACTGACTACTGTATTACTAATATTAAAATAAATTACCTTGATAACAATATAAATACATCGTAAAATATACTTAGTAATAATATTGGCTCACAGACTATTTCCGCTCAAAATCATTTTCTTATGCAATGGTTTATCACTGAAATGAATTTAGCACACACAATACAGTGACTTACTCTTCAGACCTCAATTACGAGGTTCACTCGACGCCTACTTACAGCAAAACGGTTACCTACTTTCCCCCTTTTGAAGATTGCATAAAGATTTAAAAAAAAAAAATCTCAAATATTGTATAACTACTATATGATTTTTTCGATTCCGCCATGTATAAATAAAATGTGTGAATACAACAACTTGGAATTGATATTAAAACAAAAAAATTCATCTGAACGACCTAAAAAGGTTCCTTTGAAATATGTATGTATTTCGTTCACGTTCCCGTTCTATTGATGTAATATAATAGTGAGTGACGATGACGTTTCTCATGTCGCTCGAAATACATCAACGTGAACGTGATACACGCGCATTCTTTACAAACACTGGATGTTGGATATAAAAGTAAAACTAACGATGTATCACTGTAATACTGTGTTAATGTATTAAATTGTAATATTAACGCGTATAATAGCCGCGTAATGCCGATTTCCGATCTGCTCGATCGCCGTCTACAGCGAGCTCAAAGGTCGGAGACGTGCGTTCCGTATATAATATATATACGCATAAAAATATTATAATCGACGAGTGTGGGTACCTCCGATTGCAGAACCAATGCTGGAAAATCGCAAGTAATATCATAACGGCACAACACACGATACAATGCATCGTCGATATCGCACCCGTTAACCGCGAAATCCCGTATGTTATTATCTCGCATGTACAATCGCGATGACAATAGTAATAATATAATAATATAAATTGTATATTTGTATGTACCCGTACTGCAAACACCCGCGGCTGGTTTTCGCACAAATACGTGCAGATCGTCTGGTGCGTGTACTACAATCGTACACAAATTGCGAAACGTAGGTGCATTTACGTGTTGTGTATTATAATAAGATACGTCGTACACGGTATAGTGTAATCCAACGGCGTTTTGGGATATTGTACGGTCACTTTTTCCAAATTCTCGAAGAGGATAAAAAAAAAAAAATAAAATAAATACTTCCTTTGGTTTAAATTGTTGTAGTTCAAACTTTTTGTCTTCATTTTAATTTTACAAACCTGCGCACCGTCTCTTTGTGAAAAATCACAGATTTAAATCGTTATAGCAACGTAGACTTAGAGTTTTCACGGGAAAAAAATTGACGCGAGACTTGCGTGGTTAAAGTGCTCACGGAGTTTTAATACAGATATCCCTGCACTTATTGCTTATATAGTAATATTATAATATTTTAAGCCACTTCGCGGACCACTGGCCCTGAGCAATACGCGTGTTACCGTGTCTGTCTTAGCTGTAAACCAAAACGCCAGCAAAAATAATAATCGAAATAAATAAATAATTGTATAATATAATATTATATGTTGTACTTCCACGCTCTATGGGAACGGTTGGGTAATACAAGCCGTTTTCAAGAGTGCAAAGACCTCGCGCGAACGCGCCCGTATAGACTGATATTATAGTATAATATTATAATATTATTATATCGTAGTGAATGTGCTGCATTTATAGTATCACTGCAGTACGAACGCGGAACGGCGTATATTGCGAATAAATAATATTAACCAAGAGGTTTATTATAGTCGGTCATGATGGTGTAACGTCACGTAGGTAAACGTATTATATTATTATTATTGTTAAATAATAATCGCGCGTTGTCTTTGTGCGACGCGATATCATTATATAGTTAGTAGGTGTGCATTTTCAGACAGCGAATCGAAGAAAAAATATGTATTTTATTTAGGTGGCAGCGCTCGTGCGGTTTCGTCGATATAACATTCATTATATCATATAGTGGCCTGCGAATGTGTACCTATATGGTATACGGTATAAAATATACCTATATGTATATAGTATATACATAATAAAATATGTATGAAAAAATACCCACGCCCATTAACCTAATAACATTAATCGACTAAAATACAGTGACAGTACACAAACGTATAAAATTATAATATTAATATATAACGTAATTTACATGTTATAATAATATACGAATAAGTACATATTAATAGAAAATTCGTTTCTTTCACAGACTAATATGATACTGAAGATTGAACTTAATTATTAAAACAATATTACAGCATCGAAACAAGGGTTCGTCCAATTTATTGAGTTTAAAATATTATAAATATACTGTATTACGATATTTTTAGATAAAACAAAAGTATTGACTTTTTGTGGCTCAAGCTTTACATTATTAATTTTGTTTATTTTTTTTTTGAAAAAATGGCTAAGTATAATATACTATGTAATTAATGATATTAATCAAAAATGTATAATAATATAATAGGAAAAGACATTATTATGAATTTAAATCAGTTAATAATTGACTAAATGAATAAAATAAAAAGGTTTAAAATGTAAATAACTATAAAGGATTTAGCTTAGATATAATTTATCATTTTAATAAGTGAATCGCTTCTTGGATAATAAATTAGTATTGTTGCATGAGACGAAATTTTACAACGCTGGAATACGGAAATTACTTTTTTTACTCGATACTCGGGAGCATCAATAAGACCATTAATTGAGTTTGCCAGAAAATATAGATTAGTATGAGTTTCTACATCGGATATTGAAATAAGGTCAAATACCTAGTGGAGTAGTCGTATGGATATATAATAATATGAATAATGCATATATATGCGATATAGATGTACTGGATTGTATAAATATTTTTAAATATTGATATATATTATATATTATATTTATATACAATATACATTGTATATACATGTTTTAAACAGATTATATAATATTATAATTCATAATAACGTATTATATAGTAACATTATTAAAAAATGTTTACCATCGACGTGTGTGTTTTAGGTGTCGACGCCGAGACGGCATATACGAGAAACGATTTCAAGGCACTTAAAGGAGACGCGGGTCTCAGAAAGCAGGTGAAGTTAACGAAGAACATGTTGGGATACTGTACGCCGATCGTTTTGGAGTCGAACGGTTTGTCGATTGAATTATTAATAGTGTTATGCGCGCAAACATTTTATAAAAATATACATCCCGCGAAGAATTTACCGTTTTAAAATTGTCGCACCGACAATAATGGTAGTATGGTACGAACTGCGGCATGTCATCTATTGTTACACAACAACGTTTTAAATAAGTAAAACCTCGGCGGGGTACACTGTACATTTTATACGTCATATATTCATATGCGATCGATGTCTTTAAAATATACAGCGTTCAGTACTACTGTATTTTTCCTCGTCGTAATACATACACTATATATAGATGATCGCCTACTGTATAATATATAATAATATACAAGTCCCTCTACCCGGCGCCCCGCTCAAACTTTAAAACTTACCCAACTATTTGAATACTTAATGGAAATTAGTCATTTGACTTTTAAAATATTTCCATAAATCAGCAATCGATAAATGAACTATTTACGTGTCTCTGCGAGCTCCACGAAGACACGCCAATACGCCATACTTATTTATTATTATTATTATTTTTTTTTTCATCAAGTTTAAGTATAAACCGTTTCTTTCTTTTAACTTCAATAATAATTTTAACTCAAATATTCTATAATCAACAAAAAATGCCGTACTTCAAAAATATAAATTTAAAAAAATATATCATTGAAACGGTGCACGTACTCACTGTATAATATAAGCTATGTACAGAATGATTCACCAAGCATGCTCACCACCTAATTTTTTTTTTCAATAATACAGCTATTCAAAATCTGATTTTTTCAATTTATACCTAAATACCAAATTCTTAAATTCTGGAAATTATTTGTACTATTAAAATATAAGCTTTTAAAAAACTTTAAAAACTTCTAATATTTTTCAAATGAGAGTTCCCTTTTCTACTGTAGTATATTGTTTAGCAGATAATTTTTATGACAATGCTAACAAAGATTTGATAGCTTAAAAGTATAGTTCATAAATATATTTAAAAATCTCAAAACTAAAATTTTTAATAAATTCGTAATTAAACGAAAAGTAGAGGTGGTGACTAACTCTTTATAATTTATAATATATAATCTATCATACCATACACTTTATGTATTCGCATAAATTTTGATTGCATTTAGCGATTTGTTGTTTTGCTTTGTATAGTAAATGATAATATTATTATCTAACGCAGGTTCGTTGTTCACATCGAAAAAAATGGAAACCGACAACTTAAATTTGGTGAAAAAATTTTTGCAAGTTTTTGCTAAAAGGATCGCCAAGACAGCACCGGCTCCGAAATGCCAGACGTGTGAATGCAACTCGGACAATAATGGAATTAGCCACATGGATTGTTATCCTTGTTCGTACCCTACGGCAGCTAACATTGAATACGTAAGCAATAATTAAAACACTGTAAAATCTTACTAACAAATACTTAATACGCATATATAGTGCAACAGTTCCCACATGTAGGTACATGTTATTAAATATGTACAATAATAATAATATTAATAATATTGTTGTATGTGTATAATCATAAATTAATAATATCATAGGTATTGCGATGTTGTAATGAACAGAAAAAATCCTTGATTTCTGTAGAACGGTTACAACATATTATTATAACAATTGCATCGCAAGTAAATATGTATAATATTATAGATAAACGATAACAATATTCCGTCTTCGTTCTGGAACGCGTTCATATAATATGGTCTCAGTGGGCGCGTGTGTGCCCGAACCGGCGGTCGAAACAATAATGATAAGTGCCCATTGTGATTTGATTTTTGAATAAACTGCTTCAGAAGTTCCCAAATATATTTTAATCCAAGTGTACAGTCCTCTCGATATGGTAAAATTTTTACGGCCGTAAAAATTTGATCACTCGCTCGTGATACATATATTATTTGTTTTCATGGAAATGTAAACCTGTTCGTAATCGCATTTATGTAATTTCGATATTTTAAAATTTTTGCTGGAAAAACTCGTGTGGGATCTTGTATTGCATTTCTAAGCTTTAAAATTACGTTTTTTGCATTTTTTCAACACAATATAATTTACATATTTTAATGATTTTGACGGATTTTGCATCACAAAAGAACAAAATTGATTTTACACAATACCAGTTTTGTATAAATATTCTAGTTTTTCTGTGATTTTATTTTTCCCAATTGTTTTGAAAAGTACTGTGCATTTTTCCCAAAGTAAAAATTAAATTAAATTAACTGTCAAAAATAATCTCTTTAAAAGTTGATTAAAATTTTTACTGATCCAAAAGTTAAAATGTGATAGCACGCATAAAAAAATAAATTGAATAAAAACGCGTTTGACTTAGCGCTCCGTTTAGAATCTAAAACGAAATAGGTAGAATACTGGGTTTACTGACATAATAATTTATAATAGAAATGTATACATTCTTATAAAGTTATAACAGACCAACTTTTTAATTAAATTATACCATATTATGTTCTATTTACTGTACATTTTATTAATATTTTATATTATTGTACATATTATAATATAAATTATATATTAATAATATTACGCATCAAAGTAAAATTACATTAATCATTATTAGCGATAACAAACGTCATGTCGTTGTTAGAGAAGTCCGTTCATGGAAAATTGACGGATTACATAAGCCCCCGATAATCTAATACTGCGTGGGTTTTCAATAACACCCCTGCTTTTAGCAAATGAGTAGCGAATTCAAAAATTAAATAACAATGTATTATGTTTTCTTGAATAAATTTATTAGAAAAATAGCATAAAAAAAATTAAATAATTATTTATATGTATACCATACAAGGTGTTGACCAAAATTATTTTTATGCGATAAAATATTAGAAAATTCATTTTTTTTTTTACATTTTTTGATCTAGAATACATACGCCCCAAAATACTATACCTTATTAATATTTAATGTATAATAATAGGAAAAATTTAATAATACAAAAACTAGTAGTATTTAAAAAAAAAAAAATTCTAATAAAAATAGTGGTTCTTTTTAAAAAAATAAATAAAAATCTATCATCCATAAGGGCTAAAAAATTAAACCATTTAAAAAAAAATATTTAAATATGCTTGAAAATTCCAAAAATTAAAATTTGAATAAATACATATTTATTTATTAAACGAATACCTAAAAAGATGTGAGCATATTTGATGAATTTTCTTGTAAAGTTATAGTATACACTAAACACTATAAGAAGTCATGTTCGGCTATATTGATTTTACTAAAGACTCAAAAACCTTACTTATTTATACAAGTTGTATTAAACTAGATTCCGTGTGAGTTCTTATAAAAATATCGTGTATTATTAATACTAGCATATTTACAATATTATTCGAAGTCAATGACCTATTAAATACATTAAATACTGACCTCCTAACAAAATGTCCGAAAAATCAACCATGAATATTCTTGTTACTTATAAGAGTATTAGAATTTTAAAAATATAAAATTTTGAACAATAATAGTTCATTAGTTTTAATTATTTTAATTTGTAAGACTAGAATACTTGTCCGAAATATTTAAGATCGTCCCTATACCTTGCTACTACGTTTATTAAAATTCTAAATACTTGTAACTGAAACTTTACTATAATATTTTCAGTGAGATAATATCCAGCCACTGCCTAATAAAAATCAATTTTTCTGCAAACGAGCCACTATTATAGTGAAAAATCGGTTGCGATGGCAAATCAAAATTAAATTATTAATAATAATATTTTAATATATTAAAATTATATTATTATTAAATACTAAAATACATTTTTTTGAAAAATATTCTTTATATGAATAGCTAATTAATAATGTATATGTATATTTGTGTATAATAATAATTTCTTTCCGCATAGCAACTGAAACACGTGCAGTCACTGTCGCCGCTGTGCATGGGCTAAACAAGTGTGATAAAATGTATATATATGTAATGCATATACTACTGATCTGTTACTAATTTACTGTATTCACTATTTCGAAGCTTTACATTTTCTTAAGTTATTTTTTTACATAATATTCTGACACATTTACAAGATATTTTTGAAAAAAATAATATTTTTTCATGGTTATTACTTTTTTAACTTATCAATTTTTTTTTTGAATTACAACATACATTTTTAAACTCATAATCTAAAGTAGAATATTTTTCTAAGTATTTCAATACTTACAAGTCAAAAAGAAAGGCAGTTAATGAGTTATATTAATATTTAAACTGTAGAGCTTCGCAATTTGTTGGTTTCTACTCTATTCATTTAAACTTTGAATACTTATAATTAACTATTTATTTGAAATTCAAAACAGTTTTATATATCCCCGTACTCAGACAAATTTTCTGCTTAGGAAAATGAAAGTGAAAATCTGCTTTTATCGTTCAGAAACGTGAAAAATAAAATATATATATAACAGTTTTTTTTTGAAAATTTTGTTTTGAAAACACCAGACTTATAATATTTAAAATAAAAAAAAATAAATAAAAACTTTTGGAAATCATAAACTTAATTGCTTGAATGGACTTAACCGTATATTATTATTATATTGACAAGAATAAACCGGTAGCCGACTCGTAAAATATTGTATACGTTCACTACCAACTACTACCTATACGCGAGTACCGGGAGTACCTATATATACTGCGACTATTACGATATTATATTTTTAATTATTTTCAAGGCGAATACCATAATATAAAAATATAATGTTACAGTAACAGATTTCCTACCTTCCTGGTGGTACCTAGTATCTACACTCAATATTATTATAGTATCTGCTGCAAGTATCTCGTTCGTCCGGGAAGTTTTTTTTCGACGCGCGATCACAGCACTCACACACACGCTCGACCGGTTGCATAACAATTTTTTTATTATTACTTTATTATTATTATTATATTATGTCAAAGACAAGTGTGTGTTTGTTTGTATGCGTGCGAGTGCGTATGTATATAAAAATATAATCGTCATTACACGACATAGAACGTCACAATAACAGTGTGATTGTCATTGTTTTAACACCGTGATAATATAATAGTATTAAGTTACACGAATATTACAATACTGCAGACGTGTGACATGATTGAGACGAAAAAGAACAAGGACTAAAAGAAGGAGTAGGAAGGTGTAGGCAGTGTTCCACGAGAATGGAGCACTGTAGAGACGGTGTCGGTTCTATAACTATTATAATCGACAATAATATTATTATATTATAAACTACAGTTTTCGACATAATCAGCTAATTTTTAATTTTTTTCCACTATGTTTCGAATTACTCTTAGCGATAGATTATCGTAGTTGAAAATTAAATATTATTTACAAAATACTGTTATCGATATAATTTTAAATGTTTACGAAAATTACGATAACAACATGAAACGTTTTATTTTAGATATAAGAATGTAAAATCTAACTAGGACTTTTTGCCTACACACAAAACAACATGTAATAATGTACATCATAAAAATAGGTATAACTGCAGTATTTTTGAACGAAAATTTTTTTCTTGTTGTGTTACAGACCAAAGTTGTAGAAATTATTAAAATTAGTGGAAATTTATCAATTTTATAAAAAAAATGTTAATTTGAGAGTTTAAATTAATAATATATTAGTATTAAAATAAACACATAATCTTAATTTAGTTAAAATAAAGAAAGCAAGAAAATTATATTTTTATATTGTTTACAGCTTGTTAAAAATTATTTTTAAATAACAATACTAAAACTATACACAAATTTATACAAATAGGTAGTCTGAAAAAAATCAATCGTAATCTAGAATGCTAATCGATTTAAATATATAACGTGTAATAATATCTCTTACATTCAATTTTTGACTCCAGTATACCAACTAAAAATAAATTGAAGCCTACATTTATAAATATACAGATGTAATGAAGTAATCGTGGTTTGACGAAGTATATGTAAACAATAATAATCTAAAAAATACAATAAATTTGTCTCTTATTAACAACTAATAATTATAATAATACATTTTTATATAATATAATACATATTTTTTTTCTATAGTGATGTACAATTTATTATTTATTTATACATTTTGCACGGGCCTCTTTGGATTCCAGGATTTAGGAGATAGGACTAAAGGTTTACTTTGCTAACCTTCTGTTGATATCCTGCATGTAGCGTACATATACAGTACAACGGGATTATATTAAAGTACACATCAAATAGTTAACGGGAAGCATGCACTAAAATATTAAATTCAATTCATAATTAAACTGCAGATAAACATTAAACTAACGATGAGGACAACGCTAATCAACTAACCAAAAGCAGTACTATATAAACCGGCCGAACAAAAAATTAACTGAAATTATTTATTAAAACACCAACTATATATTAGAAACCAATATAATTCACAAAAAAAAAAAATAATAATAATAATAATAATAAATAATGTAAGTGAGTGGTTACACAAACCCAACTTCCCAACTTTAAAATTTTATATTTTAGTATAGTAAGATACTACTATAATGGAAATTAAACACACAGGTGCTGAGTAGAAATATCAATAATATTATAATATAGTTGCTAGAATAAGTTCGGGCGGTCATTGCCAAGACGCATCATCCTATCCATCGCGGGTGGGTTCTACCGTAGTTTGTGTAGTGAACTATCATATCCGTTCACTACACAAACTACGGATATGATAAAAGGAGAAAATTCCGAATACAATGGCAATATAACTAAAAAGCTGATAGGTGAAAATTTTTTAATTTCTTATAATTTCACTTTGTAGTTTGTAACTATTGAATCTCGCCTTCCAATGATACAATAAGTATGTATTGTATAGGTATAATCAAAGTTTTCCTTTTTAATACTGTATTATAATCACAAAAGGCGGCGGGGGAGGGGTTATTTTAAACAATGATTACACCTGTTACAATATTTTAATATGTGTGTGTGTATTATTTTTTTTTTTTTTACAGGGTTTCAACGACGATTTCATTCCGCCAAATGTTTTATCATACGAATCTGGCGACGGATTCTACAACGACAATCACAACATTAATTAACCGCCAACACGCCGTATGCAACTATTTATATTATTATTACTATAATTATGTATATATCACGTGAAATGCGTTACTCTCTAAATATTTCCAATATTATATTTTCATCATATTATTACTCTAACTATTATATTATTATACATTTTATTGTATATTTTACATTTTTTTTTCTTTTGTCGTTTCGCATTTCACTCGTTAATAAATTATTATTGATCGCTATACTTTATTGTTAAATTATTAATGTTGATATTATCTTTATCCCATAAAATCACGTTTTATATTAAATGTCTTCACATTATGACGTACCTATATTGTAGCATACGTTTAAATAGGTGATATATAAAATAGTTCAGCCGGTAAGAAATATAATATACGTTATATATATATATATATTATGTTACTAAATCTCCTAAACGATTAAAATAGTGAATCGTTAATAATTAATAGGACTTGAATATTATATACTTGTAAATTGTATAGGATTCTACCTACTCATTGGCAACTACGGTCTACGATGTTGATCCAACACAATATTTAAAATAGGTATACTTATAAAATTATTTATAATATAAAAGATATTTTAGCTGCCCTGTTCATAATGTTTGTATTGTTTAATATTTTCACTAGTCTTAAACTCATAATCATTACCTAAAGCTACGGTATAGGTACCTACTATTAATTTAATATTTAATATTTAATTTAAGTATCTAAGACTTAAATATGACATACAATATATTTCTCGTAAGTCAATCATAAAGCAATTTATTGATATCGAAAAGTCATGACGTTCGCAGTTTTATTTGATAAGCGTTCAAACACTCCGTCTTCTTCACTCAGAATCATACTTTATATACAATGATGTATAGCGTTTTATTGAATTCAAACCTACTATGCAACAGAAATAAGCTTTTCGTTTGATTTCAATATTTTTTTTTAAAAAATAAAGAAAATTGGTTACCATTCACATAATTAGTTCATGAAAAAATCTAGATTTTCGATCAAAATATTTTCTTGGTAATAAGCAGCATGAATATTTTATAGAACATTTTTTTACTAATATTATTTTAGAATATGTTTATACGTATACAAAGATTAAAGGATTACGATTATTTTTTTATTCGTTTTTTGGAGCTATTGAGGGGACTAAGCAATAAGCATCCCCATGTCCCCCTGATTTTCGTTGATAATTCATTTATACCAACGATACTAAATTATTTCAAACATTTTTAACATTATATCATTTATACTATTATAACTATATACAAATTCAAATGGATTCATATTCAAGGGCTGCTATATTAGTTTTGAAATAAAAATCCCAAATTTTTAACCTATGTGATAAAACACCGGTTTCCTCTGGTCCTGCGTTTCACAGCGTAAAATACATAATGGTAGTTCGTTCATAACGCATTGAGTTCTTTACACTTTTGAGTCTCACCTTATTCGTTGTTTCAAAGAGTTTGGAACAAGTGTAATAATTCTATTATATTCAAAAAACTAAAACATAACTCGACAAAAAAATCATTTGAACACTATAATCTTTTATACTACACTTATTATGTTTAAAGTAAATGATTTAATCAATGTGACTATAGGTCATATTATCAGTCAAGTATGTTCATATTATATTATCATGACAGTGTTAGGTAACCTATTTTGTACTACTAGCTCTAATATTTTATGATCAATATTACGTGAACTCCCCCATACAATACATAAATTATTTTAAATATTCTTAATTAAAATTAATTTTTAGTAACTCCCCGCTGAAATTTCACGGCTACAAGTTTTTACATCATTACATTATGCAATATATTAGTACTGAGTATAATGAGTTTATTATATACTCAATATGACATTGTATTTGAGTATTTGATTTAAGTAATAAAGTTGTTTTCAAATAATTGATGTAATGTGCGTGTAACAGATGTAGCGAAGAATGAAGTACAGTTATATATGGTTATATACTTTTTTGGTCATTGCAAAATCAAAAATTTACACAATATTAATAATGTGTTGGTTTGCAAATAAATATATGCCAAAAATATCGGCTCAGGTATTCTCAACTTCTAATAAATATGTCATTATTAAAGTTTTTAGGAACTTCTTTACACCTTCAAATTAATGACTCTGAATACGTAGAAAAAAAAAATATATGACCATTATTCTTCTATCGAGAACAAAAATCGTATGTTGAAAGTTAATGTTTTCTATTCTAATAAAGTTCTTCGATAGCAAAAAATTTTTTTATTTTATTGTTTTTGTTCTTTTTCGATATTCGTCTGTTAAAGCTTTTTTGGTTAAGAAAAATTCACTAATAATTGCATACTTTTATTAAAGAATTTTAAAGTTAAGAAAAGTCATTGTAACATATTGATGAACTTTAACTTAAAATCAATTAATAGGTTTAAAAGTTGATTTAAAGAAGCAATTTGATAATTATAAATCGGTTACCTAAGGAATTATTTAATTTGTGGATATTATAGCTGGGTGGATTTTTAAGTATAAAGGAATTAAAATATAAATGTATATTCTATAGATTTTGTTAAAGCAACGGTGGAATTTTTTTAAATTGAACACGTCATTATCAATAATTCTGAATAATAAAATTGTTATATGATTATTTATTTAGATCTAGGACTAGGGTATTTAAAGTATAGCAAAATAATATTATCATTTACAATGATATGAAAAAAATATACGATGAATATGAAATATTTTTCAGTATTTCGTATTTCACACTTTTTATCATCAGAAAAAATAATTACAGTTATATTATAACGGTGCGATTGAAGTAACTCAAGTTCAAAGAGTATATAATTATTAAATTATTTTATGTTAATGCTGCAGCAGTGTATCTCTGTATTGCAATAAAATCAAATATAATAATATTAATAGTACAATAATGAACATTTGTAGAACTCAATATCTGCTGTTCATTTAGTTGGAAATGCATTTATATCGTCTTTGAAATGTCACTGTAAAAAGTGTGTTAAGTTTGATAAATAAATTTATAGAAGAGTTCTGTGACAGATGTATCAGTATTCATTGCTAATAGGATAACTTAATAATATTTTACATTATTTCATTATTATTATTATTATTATTTTATAAATTCAACAGATTAAACTTATTTTCCAAAAATATCACATAAATATTTAAATCAATTACGATACATCGTATAAATCAGTCGAGAAAATATCATTGTATATTTAGAGAATAATAAATGTACATAGCAACAATAATAAAGAAAAATTTAAAGTCTCTATGATTAGATTTTTTTTTTAAATTACCTACCTACTGGAAAATAACTAAAATGTATGAAGAAACAAAATTATAATTTTCCGTTCAAATATCCAATAATAATAATATATCCATCATAACATGAACTTCAAACGCTTAAAAAAACAAATAAATATATCAATTGAATATGTGTAGTGTGTAATGTGTGCGTTTGGTAATTTTTAATTTATCTAACAAAAACTTATGAGGAACATTTTTTTTTTTAAATCCATGATAATATCAAAATTGAAAATTATATGAATTATAATTACGAAATAGCTTGCAAATTAAAAAAAAAAAAAAAAGTACACAACTATAATTTATAAAGCACTAAAACCAATACAATTACTATATTTAAGTTTTCTTTATATATTATTTTGATTGTTAAAAAAAAAAAAATAAAATAAAAAAAATAATGTTTTTCATATGAATTTGAAATTGTATTGACTTCCCCAATGTATTCGTATAATATTTTCTAGAGTGCTGTTTATCTTGATAATTATGTTGTATAAACACAGAGTTAATTCGTAGAACTGAAAATGTTATTAATTTTGATAAAACCTCATACATTTCTAAATCATGTCGATAGAATAGAAATAATATTTTTGTTTTTATTTATTTCAATTGAATAAATACGATTTTTTTTCGTTGAACTCAGTATTTCATTAATTTTGTCTAGACATGGCTTTTCTCGGGTCTCGGAAAAAAAAAAATGTTTAAATTTCGTTGATCAATATTCTATATATATTAATATAATGATGTTCAAGTTTGACGGGGTCGTGCATTGCGGTTGCAGCAGTGTTATAAACGAGCAACGGCGTAATGATTTCATATTTCGAAAACTATTATTTAATAGAATTTACGGTGTAAAAATGATTTGTTCGCCTAATTGCACTTTCGGAATAATTTAAACCAAAATTATTACTCAATTTAATCATATAACTGAACACTCATACTGGTACTTGCATAAATATAATATATCATCAATATACTGTAGAATATGAAACTAGAATAATATTGCATAATGACGATCAGTAAAGTTGGGTTCATCGATACCATAATAATATAATACGTAATAATACGAGAAAAATAAATTACTGATATATTTTACACGAAATATATGTCTCGTTAAGTTAGGTATAAATATGTTTGTAGATATAGCCCGTTGGTCTGAAGAGTGTAGATGGAAAAAAACATGAAAATGGTGTAGAGTTATGTGAGAAGTATGTTTAACTGTACACGAAATCGAAATCATATTAACAATTTTTGATATTTTGAATTCTGATAAGCGATGGCTATTCAATATGAATTTGCCGTGACCCGTACATAGTATATACGCAAGTATATAATATGATATACCCACGTTAATAGAGTGCTCACTATCTATTTTCATAACTTTCGCCGAAGCTCTAAAACACAATAATACTTTATCGCCTCGCGAATATCGAGTCAAATATACATTTTCCCATTGTTTTGTCATCAGAATATCTATTTATTCTATTTAATAGAATACAGGATATTTTCCGGTTTTCCTCAAAATGAGTGATAATAAGAAAAAGAAAGGTGGAGCTGAAAGAGAGGAAGAAAAAAGTAAAAAGTTATTGATGCTAAGTGAAAAACAATGTATAAAATTAGTTTTACATTATTGCAAAAGAAATTTACCTAAACTTTTAACGGATATTGAAACTATCTCTGGTCATGATGATTTATCATTTAAAACCGATTATATTATGTAAAAACATTTTAAGATTATTACATTTTGGTTACCTATTTTAGATTTAATTTTTTTTTTTTTATAGTTTAATCAATAAAATACGTATGCATCACCTATGCAATA